AAATTTTTCTATTTAATTTTCTTCTATTCTTCTTCTTTGTGTTTATATATATATATATTAGAAAGTTAAATGTCTTATATTTTTAAAAGAACTTTTAAGAAAGCCGAAAAGCAAAATGAGAAAAGATATAATCGCTTCATCACCCCACACGATTGTCTGCAAAATCTGAATGATTTCTGATATTGTATTAATATGATATAGCTGAAGCAAAATATATCAATACGACAGTGTGAGAAACATAAAAAAAGGAAAGAGAAATAAAACATATTAAGCAAAAAATATAAAATAAAACATATCAAGTAAAAAATAGAAAATAAAAATTCAAGAAAAATACACAATAAAACACAAAATGTAACGTATAAACCGAGAAGCAAATTCAAAAGTCCTTCCTTTTACCGGCATTTTTCAAAAATGATTTTAAATATTTCCGTAACAAGTTTGCCAGGTTATAAAATATGAAAATAAAACCGCAAATAGAGTATTTTACGGTGCGTTCTTACTTTAGTACAGAACCGCATTTGATAGACAGTTACCTTGGATTGGACCAAAACTGGATGTGCGCAAAATAATCATATTATACTAGATAATTCAAAGTTTATGATCAATAAAAGGTCGAATTTTAATTATAAAATTTTAATTTTGATAATTTAGAGAAATTATTACCATATATAGGAAATTTTTATAGTTACATGCATATTGATATAAACTATCTCCTTCTTAAGAGCGGAACCCTTTCTTTTCTCACTCCATTTTTTCCTTATTTTAAGATTAAATGTTTATTACTTCCTGTTAATAATTATCGCAAATGTTCATCACTCAATGAAGTTAACCATTCAAAAGTCTCCTTCCTTTATGTGACATTATTAGGGATAAGATTCCTTTATTAGGGATAATTAGGGATAATTATTAAGGATAAGATTCCATCATTAGGGATAAGATTTTCTGTGGATTGTTTAAAGCAATGAATACTCACTTGGACGGCAAAGTTGCTTCTTGGATAACTCATTTCTGCAATATTATACCATTCATCTGTTAAGGGATTATACTTTTCCCCATCTTTAAGCCTTGACAGACCGTTGAATCCACCCAGAGCAAATATGCAACCACGGTGAGCTATGACAGACACTCCAGATCTTCTCTGACTCATAGAAGTTAAAAGTGACCACTGGTCAGTAATCGGATCGTAATATTCCCCGCACGCCAAACATTCATTGCCACTGAAGCCACCCACAGCGTAAATACGATCGTTCAAAGTTGTAGCATCCGCATCACTCCGCTGAACATTCATGGGGGCAACAAATGTCCACTTTAATAAAAAAAAAGAATCAATTCTAGATTATAAAATATATTATATATAAGGACTGATAACTGCTTAGTTGAAATCTCTTAATAATTAATAATCTCTTTCTCTCTCTCTATCTGTCTGTATATGGATGGTGTTCTCAACACTAGGAAGAGCTGCAAGCTGTATGCCACTTATACTTCCGGGTTACTGTTTCCGGTGTATTTTAAAGCCATTTGGCTCGTGATCATTGTGTTAAGATTCTTGCAAACGTGGTATTTGATTACTTATTATTAAACTTAATCTTGCTCCTCGAACAATATGCTAACACTAACGTAAAATGGTACACAGCTTGCAACACGAACAAACAGTAGTAAACAAATGGAAAGGGGCCCAATCAAGACTGCAAAAAAAGCGAGTTATTCAAAATCTAGCAACCATGTCACCTTTTTTANGTTATTTTAAGATCTTTCACTTCCATATAAGGAAAGATTAAACGATTTGCTTTGAGTAATAAATAAATTTGATGAAGCGTAAGAATACAGAAAAAGCATATGACTGGGACCTCTTCACACTGTTTAATCATCCTATAAAATGCAGAGCGCTAATTTTTGCGTGGCTTTTTGTTGTTTGTTTTGCTAAAATAAAATCCGTCAGCTTAGACGGGATATCTGTTCCCCCTCTCCCGCTTCGGAGAGGGGTTAAACTGCTATTTCACCATCGCAACTTAATAAAAGAAGATTATGCACAACTGGACTCTTCAATCATGTTGCTCTCAATACTAATTTACTAAAAAATCATTATATATATATATATAGAAAGAGAGAGAGAACAAGTAGTAGATACAGAAAATTTCTGCATCTACTACTTGTGATGCATGTTGCTTTTTTGAAAATTAAGCTCATCTTGTTGTTGTTGACGTATGCCTGCTTAGGCGGGGATGTGCGATTGTTTTTGTTTTCCAGTGGCGCCATCTATGGCCAAGAATTCTCATGTTCATCTTAAATTTTTAGTTAGATAGTTATTAAAATGACGGTTAATTTCAGTTAACTTATTAAAATGACGGTAGCAGGATTTCAAATCGAAGTAATCTGAAACAAAATGGAAGTGAGGAATTGAAAAAACTTACTTGATTTGTCTTGATATCGTATCTCTCCACTGTATTCTGCCTATAATGTCCATCATAGCCTCCTATCGCGTATATAACGTTATTCAAACAAGCTACACTTACGTAACACCTACGAAAACATACTCATCTCAACAAAGGTTCTGAAACTATTCACAATAGATGACAATTTTCAAGTTGAGGATATTTAAGGTATAAAAAACCCATTATATCGATACTCTCATAAAAATATAATATTGAAAGTTTATTAAATAAAATTATTAAGTTACATTAATAGTTAATGAATGATATCAGTTAAAACACTTCTTCAACTAATTGTATTTAGTATTATCAACTTTTTAAAAATAATTAACATTTCTTTCCTATTTCTTAGTTACAAACTATAGCTCTAGAACAAATATTATATTGAATGATTTTTAATATGTTATGTACGTAAAAAACGTTTTTTCTTAAAAAAAACAAACAATGCTTTTATTATACAAGATTTTTATTTCAAATTATGAATAATGGAATTAATTCCTATAACACGAAGCATTTCCCACACGAAGCATTTTTCCTCTTACGAAGCATTTTCCACTGAAATTAAAATAAGACCATTTTTCCTAATTTGTTACGGTGCTGCTGTGTGCAAACAGTGCTAGACCTTACATTCCAACCAAAAAGTTTTATTAGAGAAACATTGCTAGAAGCATTTTCTTGTGACATGTAAATTGAAAAATTACTTTAACAATTATCTGCCTAATTTTTCATTTCTATACTTTTTTTGAATAAATGAATAAAAAAGTTTTTATTTTTTATACTTTCGAAATCTTCCAAGCGTTAGTTTTATTGGTACTACATATATTTTACCACTGGTGCAAAAATATCCCTATGCTACCCAAAAGCGAAGGTAACATGAAAAGTTTTATTCTAGCTGAACGCGTAGAGTGTTCCTTGAAGGATTATTACCTTTTGCATTGCATCGGAGCCACTTCTGACCATTCTTTAGTGACAACATTAAACCGAAGGCAGTCGTTGAAGTAGTTAAGACCATCAAAGCCACCGATGACGTAGATGTCAGTTCCGATGACCGCCAGTTTGTGGTAAGCTCGAGGACCAAAGGGATCGGTCATACGTACCTGAAACAAACTTTATTCCTTTTCAATTTATCTTTAAAATACATTTATGCAGTTACTTTATTTGGCCATCAAAATGTGTGTTTGTCTAACATATCGTTTACCAATCCTGTCTAATTTAAATTACGGTCATGCAATACATGTAACCACGGTTTCATTTTATGCATATGTAATTAAGACGGCTTTAGACTAATATGATTAAAAAACCAAAACAGTCATTTAAAGTGCGTTTTAGAAGTTGAAAAAAAAGGTGAGGGAGGATGTTGAAGAAATGAATGAGGATATAAAATTAACTCAAGAGTTTATTTTGCATTTTAAAACAGGCGTTGAACCCATTTTTGAGTTTACGTAATAATCTTATAATGCGTCCATAATCTTATAATTTTGATCTCAACCTAGATGACCTCCGCTCCTGGATCAAACTAGTCTACACGAAGAACTTGTTTTATGGAGCTAATCCATATTTGCGCTACATGGTGAGAAATACCACCAAAACACCGCAAGTTCAGTCTAATTTAAATTATGGTCATGCGATACATGTTACCAGGGCATGGTAATGCATGTTATGCATATGTCATTATGACCGCTGTGGACTAATATTCAGAGATGGTCATTATGATGGCTGTGGATTATTAACCTGGACCATTCATGAATGGTCCAGTATTGTCTCCCGATCTTCACAAAGAGATGAATTTCAGACTTATGCCAAAAATTTCTTTGGTGCATCTCTCTAGCAGAGTTAATAACAAAAACAATTTTGCATGAGGCAAACAGAAAAAAACCCTATAAATATAGAATTGTTTTCGTCTTAACTCTTTTCGAGTTTTTATTCCCTTCCAGCAAAAGCGTCCCAACATCATTCACTCAGTTTTCATTTTGAAATTACAGTCGAATCTCGATTTAATGAATTTATCGTGGTTGAAATTTTATTTTCTTAAAACCAGGTTTTTTTTCGAAAACCGTGGTCCAAAAGAAAAAACATTTCTGATCTTACTTAAAGCACGGCCGAAAAAGTGTTTTCATATTAAAAAATTGTAAATTCTGAGGATGAAAAAATTGGGATTAGCGAAGGCAGTACATCTCTCTCTTTGTCTGAGATTGGGCCTTTTTTTAATTTCTTTTCTTTCCGTTATCTCCGCATTTTCGTCTTCAATTAACTTTCAGCAGTTAATTTCATTTTGACAGAATGAATTAATCAATGTCTAAAGCACACTTTGCAAGGCAAAACACGAAATTGCATGCTGGAAGATAAGCGAGACTTTGATAAATAAGATAAAGAATTTTTCTCTGTAGTATTTTTCGTAAGACGTTGAGAAGCAAAAATAATTAAATTTAATTCGAAAAATAATCTTAGTACTCCCTTCTTATTCTTGGGGTCCCGCAGTGGAATGATCGTTAGGACACGGCTAACAGCAGATCACCGAAGTCAAGCATCACTGGCTGCGGTCAGTGTGCGGGTGGGTGACCACTTTGATCACCCTGCGTAGAAGACCAAAGGTGTGCGGTAATGGTCCTCGTTAAACTTTTCTACCGTAAAGTGCTGAACTTCGCTTGCAGGTCGTCGGGCTACCGAAGTGGGGGTGCCATCCCCTCTGCAGAGGATCAAAAATGTGATGGCATGTCTTCGGATCATCCTCAGGAGTGTTTCCCAGACCGTCGCCTATAGCCTATTGTGTAGCTCTAGTGTGACGTAAATAAACTACAACAGCAACAACAACAATCTTATTCTTGTGCGGTATTGGTCTTCGTAAAACTGTTCTACCGTTAAGTGCTGGACTTCGCTTGCAGGTCGTCGGGCTACCGAAGTGGGGGTGCCATCCCCTCTGCAGAGGATCAAAAATGTGATGGCATGTCTTCGGATCATCCTCAGGAGTGTTTCCCAGACTGTCGCCTATAGCCTATTGTGTAGCTCTAGTGTGACGTAAATAAACTACAACAGCAACNCATAAAAGTAGCTCAATACGAAATTAATTAGGTTTAACTAGGTCTCGTTGTTCTCAATATAACTGAATGGAAAGATGAAAAGAATGATGTAGGTAGCGCTACCTAAAAGTGGCTCAATTAGGTTGAACTAGGTCTCATTGTTCTTGAGGTAGCTGGATGGATAGGGGGAGAAATGATGTAGGCAGTATCACATAAAAGTCGCTCAATACGGAATTAACTAGGAAGTTTCATTTAAAGAAAAAAAAAATTGTGCATTTATACATATTATTGATTCATCTTGACAAGTGAGGTATTGTGTATTTTATGTATTTTTTTTAAACCAAAGGTAAGCAATAGTTTCAAAATTAGGAGGATTTCATACGCAAAAAGGTATAAATTGAAAATTATAGTGTTAGTACTTGTGACTCTCATAACTATAAAACTATTAGACTTATCAGCTTAGTTTTTAATTTCCTTCAATTAGGTGTAAAATACTTCTCGTGAACTATACAAAAATTATTAATTCTTTTATTTCGGATTTTCTTTTAATTTTCCTTTAAAAAAATTTCCAGAAATTACATTTTATTTTATTTTATAACCGTCGTTGAACAGCCGACCCAATTACTGGGTTTACGACTACTACGTAAACCCAATAATATGTGTAATATGTAAATATGTATGCATAATATGTATGTATAATATATACTATGTATGTATAATATATAATATGCATGTATAATATATAATATGTAAATTACATGGCAACTCCGTAGTCTTGGAATTTTGAAACTAATCCATGAGACAAGGAAACTCCTGGATCAAGTATTGGGAGAAATTTGCCTTCGTAGAGGACTTTTCGATGGAACCAACCCATATTTGCGTTGCATGGAGAGGAAAACCACGAGAACCTCCTATGGTTAGCCTGACGCTAAAGGAACTCTAACCCATGATCCATCTACCACTGAGGATATTTCGCGTGAGCACTGTGGTCGGTGCAAGCCGGATACGGATTCATATCAATCAGCCATCGACTGGGATTCGAACCCGATTAACCTCATTGGATGGCGAACATTCTATCCCCTGAGCCATCACGGTTCCCAAAAATTGCATCTATAGTCAATGTGCTTACTGTGAGCCGCGATGGCTCAGGGGATAAAGCGTTCGCCTTCCAATGAGGCGAACCGGGTTCGAATCCTAGACGATACGAATTCCGCATCCGGCTTGCACCGACCGCAGTGCTGACGTTTAATATCCTCTCAGTGGCAGATGGGTCATGGGTTAGAGGCCCCTTGCTGTCAGGCTCACCGTGGGAGGTTTCGCGGTCTTCCTCTCCATGTAACGCAAATGTGGGTTAGCTCCAACAAATAGTCTTCCACGAAGGCAAATTGTTCCCAATACCTGATCTAGGAGTTCCCTTGTCCACTGGATTGGGTTCAAAATTACAAGACTACGGAGTTGAACATTAATAGTCGTAAACCCATACAATTGGGTCGGCTGTTCAACGACGGTTATAATATAAAAATAAAATGTGTTTACTGTGAGTTAGAATAATGTTTCATTCAATTTTAAGGTGATAAATTAGGTTTCATAAAAAAATCCATCGAAGGGGATTCTATTTGTGACATCTATTTCTATTTGTGACAATATGTTCTAAAAATTTTCGCAGCAGATAGAATATATATTTTTACTTGTCACAATAAAAAAGATCTATATGGATAAAGTGTGCTTTGCAATTACAAAAATATCTCAAAATAACTCCACTTAACGTTACTATTGAAAATTTAAAATAGATAGATATGATTTTTTTTAAAAAGAAGAACTGGTGCTTCTTACTGGTGCTTCTTGACTTTTTCAATGAAGTACTGAGTGTCAAGTAAACCAAGTCGGACACATCTCATTATAGAATCAATGTATTGCCGCCTCTCATCTGCCCTAATAACAATACACACACATATGAAATTATGCGCAAAAGAAAAAAGAAATCACCCTGAATAACTTTTGATTTAAAAATCGAACTCGATAATGATGGTTCAAGAGTGACCTCAAATGTGCTAATTACTTAGTGCAGGAGATATTTAAACTTACGAAATCAGACACAAAAACTTACTACCTTTTTATGACGGAGTTGAATTTCGGATCCTCAAAATATAGGGGGTAGCTGCAATATGGAAAATATGGTTCCAATATTTGGGTCATAAAATTTGATCGAAATCAGAGGGAAAGTCGAAGTTTAAAGAAGTTGAAAGGTTAAAATTTGATTTCTCAGGAATGATTCCTCCAATTTTGTTCAAATTTTGTGTTTTGATATGTAAATTTATGCTCTTTAAATTTGCAAAAATTTGGTTACGTAACCATTCAAATTTTTTTGACTGTTATTAAATAAAATAATAAAAATTAATAAATTATTATTAACAATTACTTTTTGCATGGATTATCTTTGGATAAACGATTTTTATAACATTAAAAATAATACAGAAAATACGCAAAAAGTAAAATTAATATAAATAATTATAAATAATAATTAATATAAATAATTATAAATAATAATTAATATAAATAATTGTAAATTAATAAAAAGTATAATTAATATAAGTAAATAAATAATCTAACTTTCGGACCACTCTCCTGTCCAAACTATTAGGACCATATTTCCAGATTGCCGGCCAGGTGGCCGAGCGGTTAGCGTGCCTGACTGTGAAGCCATAGACTGCGGGTTCGAATCCCGCTCTGGGCATGGATGTTTCTCTCTCTCTTTGTGCTGTCCTCTGTTGTGTGTGTATGATGTGTGAATGTGGCCCACCCTATAAACGGGTTTGTGGCAGTGTGGCGTGGGCAATGTTGCTCGCCTCCGTGACTTTGGTTCACAGGTGCCCACTGGGTAACGCGAAATGAGCAACAATTCTGGCATAATATAGGCAAAGATACAAATTCAGTGCCTGCCATTGGAAAAAAAAATATTTCCAGATTGCGGCAATCCCTTATATCTTGAGGGTCGGAAATATAAATTCGCCCCCCAGAAAAAGGTATGTTTTTTGGGAGAAAGACACCTCTTGGTCTAATTTCGTAAATTAAAATATCGTCTGCACTAATCAATTAGCTCACTTGAATCATTACGAATTAGTTCAAGTAAACGTAGTTCCAATCATTAGGTCATAAATTATTAAAAGTGTATCATTTTTTAAAAAACTTCTTGAGCTAATGATTGGATTTTCACACACTAAAACTCAACGTTAATGATTCAAAAGATTAAACCATTCAGATCAATTAAATCTTATAGGTACTCCTAAAACACGCTATTTTATGTTAATTACGTATTATTAGTTATGAAATTAGACATAAAAAACCCTTCTTTTACTAAACATATTCTTTTCTCAACAATTTTTTCCTTTCTAATTTTTTGATATAGTATTTTAACATTTCTATTGAAATATATATATATATATATATATATAAGATCTGCTT